ATAGATACAAAATTCTCAACAAAATACTTGCAAACTGCATACAGACACACATCAAAAAGATCATCCACCGTGATCAAGTCAGTTTATTCCAGGGATGCAGGGATGGTTTAATATACATAAGTCAATAAACATCATAAATCATATAAATGGACTCAAAGTTAAGAACCACATGGTCATCTCGATAGATGCAGTGAAGGCCTTTGACAGAACTAAGTATGCATTTATGTCCAAAGTCCTACAGGGAATTGGACTAGAGGGAATATACCTTAACATAATTAAAGCCATATACAACAAACCCATAGGCAATGGAGAAAAACTGGAAGCATTCCCATTAAAATTACAAACCAGACAAGGTCCACTATCTCTACTCCTCTTTAACATAGTGGCTGAAACTCTTGCAAGAGTAGTAAGACAAGAGAAGGAAATTAAAGGAGTAATAATTGGGAAAGAAGAGATTAAATTATCCCTTTTTGCAGATGATATGATATCTAACAGATGCCAAAAATTCCACCAGAAAACTCCTAGAAATTATTAACACGTTCAGTAAAGTGGCAGGTTACAAAATTAATCTACAAAAATCTGTAGCCTTTCTATATACCAATAACAACCAATCAGAGAAAAAAGCACATGGAAACACTCCTTTCACAATAGCCTCAAAAAAAAAAAAAATCTTGGAATAAACCTGACCAAAGACATTAAAGAGCTCTACAATGAAAATTTTAAATCTTTAAAGAAAGAGATTGAGGAAGACATCAGAGGATAGAAGGACCTCTGCAACAGGGTACCTGGAGTGAGGAGTGGGGATTCAATGGGGCAAGAGACACAGAGAATAGAGACAAGACAGTCCTCTGATCAAGTCTCGTTTATTGAATGGCTGCAGAAAGCTTTTATAGGGGAGCAGAAGGTGGAAGAAACTGGGCAGGCAAGTTTGGCTGTTTACCCTACATTCCAGAGTTAGACCATGAGGCCTGATGTTTTTACAGGATGAGGAAATTTAAAAGGTCAAGGCAGAAAAACATGTTTTTCACAAAGCCATCCAGCTACTCTTAAAACTAGGTCAGAGGTTGAAGCTGTAAGCAGCTTGCTTCACAGACAATAGTTGCTGTTTCTGGGTAGGGGGCGCTCGGCTCCCCACAACCTCCCATGCTAGTGGACTGAAAGAATTAATATCGTGAAAATGACTATCCTACCAAAAGCCTTTTATAGAGTCAATGCAATGCCAATCAACATCCCCATGACATTCTTCACAGAATTGGAAAAAACCATCCTAAGATTCATATGGAAGCATAAAAGACCTTGGATAGCCAAAGCAATCTGGAACACAGAGAGCAATGTTGGGGGGATTAGTATACCAGATTTTAAACTGCATTACAGAGCTATAGTCATAAAAACAACATGGTACTGGCACAAAAGTAGACCCATAGATCAATGGAACAAAATTGAAGACCCAAATATGAGTACATGCAATTTCAGCCACCTGATATTTGACAGAGGGGCCAAGAACATTCACTGGAGGAAAGACAGCATGTTCAGCAAATGGTGCAGGCAAAACTGGATCTGTACCTGTAGAAGAATGAAACTAAACTAAACCCCTATCTTTCTCACCTTGTACAAAAGTCAACTCCAAATGGATCAAAGACCTCAATGTAAAGCCTGAAATTCTGAATCTGTTAGAAGAAAATATTGGTAATAACCTACAAGATAAAGGTGTAGGAAAGGATTTTCTAAACCAGATATCAATTGCTCAGGAAACAAGGTCAAGAATCAACAAATGGGACCTCATTAAACTAAAAACCTTCTGTGCATCAAAAGAAGCAACTAAGGAAGTGAAGAGAAAACCCACAGAATGGGAGAAAATCTTCACCAACAACACATCTGACAGAGTTTTAATATCCAGAATATATAACAAACTCAAAAAACAAAGAAGAAAGGAAGTAACCCAATTAAAGATGGGCTAAAGAGCTGAACAGAGAGTTCTCAAAAGAAGAAATAAAGATGGCTAAGAAGCATCTTAAAAAGTATTCAACATGACTAGTAATTAGGGAAATGCAAATTAAAACCACTTTAAGATTTCATCTTACCCTAGTCAGACTGGCTAAGATAAGACATCACTACTGGTGGGATTGCAAACTTGTTCAACCCCTATGGAAAGCAGTGTGGAGAACTCTTAAAAACTACAAATGAACCTACCATTTGACCCAGTTGTACCACTCCTAGGCATATACTCAAGGAACTCATCCCATTGTAGAGAGACTTGTACCTCCATGTTTGTTGCTGCTCTTTTCACAATAGCTAAGAGATGGAAGCAACCTAAATTTCCCTTAACTGAGTGGATACTGAAGATGTGGTTCATTTAGACGATGGAGTTCTACTCAGCAGTAAAGAAAGATGAAATCATGAAATTTGCAGATAAATGGATGGAATTAGAAACTGTTATACTAAGTGAAGTAACACAGACTCAGAAAAACAAATGACATATGTTCTCCCTCATATGTGGATCCTAGCACCAAATCCTTATAAGTGAGTATGTAGCCAGAGTATGTATCCTTTACCAGGGAGGTAAAGGAAAAGGGAGATAGGGATAAAAATGGGGTTATTTTAATGGGACTGAGGAGGGAGGGTTATACAAGGAATATTGGGAATAAATAGAAAGGAGCTCAAGAGAAGAGAGACCATAGGAAGGATGTTATTAAGGGAGAAATGGGAAAAATGGAGAAACCATCGTGGAAGGTTAGACAATGAGAGAGCTAAATAATGCCTATCTAGTTTTTTTAAAAAACCAGAGGGAACTATATTAGTCCTACAACCTACTGACAAGTTATACATACAACTAGCTCAAGGAACATAATATATGTCTAGGCAAGGTTTATCTGAGAATGTTTGGTCTTTGCCCAAGCTTTATCTACATGGCACATTAAAAGTACAAGACTGAGGGAACTAACCTTCCTGGATGTTTAACAGCCATTCTTTGAGGCCTATACTAATCTTCTCAGAGGGGCTTAAAGGACAGTTTTTGCCCCTTGCCCTCCAAGGTCTACTAAGTTCCAGGGGAATATGTAGCATCTCTCAAAATGTCCTGTAACTGTGGTGAGTCACCTGTCCTCTTGATCACAGAGATTATGGCGAACCCATCACATGGACTTGAACCAGTGTCCAGTCTACAAAAAAGAGGGTCAACACAGAGGAAACATTTCCTTTATGCTTCCAAGTGAAGCCATCCATGGTTGAGCAGGACCTTTGACTTATTGTCACATAGATGGAACTGGTAAAAGAAAGAGCCAGGGGTTCCTCCAAAGTCCATGTGACCCCTGAGGAACAGATCCTCAAACAACCTTAAAAGCAAAAAGAAATTGGTTTATCTGGGCCAATTGTATGGTCTTAAACACCCAAAAGGAAAGTATAACCAAATATTGATGGGGTCAATATAACTCTTTAAGAGTCCATATGTATAACTAAAGGCTACGTAACAAGAAACAATGCCAGACAGGAGAAACCTTCCTTTGAGTTGTTGGCCAGGGTGGTGCAAAAGACTCCCAGACAGTAACCCAGCATAGAACTGGGAAAATGAACAGCAGACCCAAATCTTATCTAAAGGAATGTTAGCAACTGATTGCTGCTAGATGGGGAAGAGCTGATCTTCCTAAAACAAGGGAGTCTAGATAGGTTGACTAGATTCAGCTGATGGACAAGCACTGAGGAACGGCTGGGGGCATTGACAACACAGTGTACAGTAACAGGGATGACAGTATATGGGCTCCAGTGGGCGGTGGGGAGGGCCCTATGGGAAGATGCCATTTGGCATGTGGGTATAAAGTTGCATAAGATTGTTTGGGATGTTCTGTATGAAATACAAACAAAAAAAATCAAACAAAAAAATAAAATGTTAAAAAGCAGTTTCGCAGTTAAAATGTAACTTTATTTTATTTTTGCAGAGTAGGGGGTAGATAAAACAGAAAGATTTCAGTTGAGAGAAGTAGAAGCCACAAAAATAAAAGAATGGAAAATTTGAGTAAAGCTGCTAGAAAAAATAATCACTGTGGATTTTAGAATCATGTTAGTGTAGGGATAATGTTAAAGTTTAGCCTAAATCTCATAACTGCATATTTTGTATTAAAGAAGAGAGGCTATGAATGGCCTTGAAGACTTCTATTAGATCTTCTACTATTGTCTAAGAAAGTATGTGGTACAGGTCTGTGTCAGAGAGAATATATCCATGTGTGTATTAAATGTATTGTCTCTGGAGAAAGGGTTCTCACACACTTATTTTAGACTCAGACAAGTTGAAGAAACTTCTCCAAGCACACACATTGTATAAATATTGGAAACATAAAAGTTATAAGAAACTAGGAGGTTCATAAAATATCATTTCTCAGGGCTTGTGAAGTGAATATGTCTAGGAAACAAAATACAAATGTTTTCCTCTATTATTCGTGTTTTATTTGAAGAGCATCATCATGATCATTTGAAGAATAGGAAGAATTTAAGCTGTGGGGACATCTTCTTCCTCAGGCCTGTCATTTGGTAGTCCTTATTTTTTGATGGAGAGGACCCTTGCAATCAACCTCCTGAATGCTCCCTTTACCTCTTTGTTCCTGAGTGTGTAGATGAGGGGGTTCAGCATGGGTGTGATGATCCCATAGAAAAGGGACACCATCTTTCCCCGGTCCTTGGAGGCAGGGGACGGTGGCTGCAGATACATGTAGATGGCAGTACCATAAAACAGCGTCACCACAATGAGGTGGGAACCACACGTCCCGAATGCCTTTCTTCGACCTTCAGCTGACCTTATTCTCAACACTGCTTGGACAATGAAAGCGTATGATATAAGGATGAGAATTAGGGGTATTAAGAGGAACAGCACGCTAATGAAGAAGAGTTCAGCTTCATTTGCTGTCGTGTCCACACAGGACAGCTTGAGCAGAGCAGGGACTTCACAGAAGAAGTGATCCACTTCCTTGTGACCACACCGTGGCATCTGAAGGGTCCACGTGGACTGTAATACTGAGTTGCTGAAGCCACTGATCCAACATGCAGCGGCCAACTGGAGGCAGAGCCTTTGGTGCATGATGACCGAGTAATGGAGAGGCCGACAGATGGCTACAAACCTGTCAAAGGACATGACGCCCAGGAGAAAACATTCCGTGCAACCCAAGGCCAGGAAAATGAAAAGCTGGGCCACGCAGCCACTGTAGCTAATCACCTTCCTGGTGCTGCGGATGTTTATGAGCATCTGGGGAACTGTACTTGTGGTATAGCAGAGGTCCAGGAGGGAGAGGTTGGTAAGAAAAAAGTACATGGGGGTGTGGAGTTTGGCATCCAGGCGGGACACAAGAATTATCGCCATATTGCCAAAGATGGTCAGGATGTAGGAAACCAGGAACACCACAAAGAGGGGCAGCTCTAGCCATGGCCGATCTGAAAACCCTAAGAGGATGAACTCCTGTGGACTGCTGCCATTCACCCGACTCATGTTAAATGGTGGAGCTTTTGGTTCCCTGAAGCGCAAAATGTCAGTAAGTTAATGGACTGTTAACGGACCACATCAGTTATAAAGTCAGGTTCCTCACTTGTAAACCAAAGATGCTAATGAATTCCAGTTTTGCCTGCTCTGAATCACAAATGCTCCCTACCTGCCTGACTGCGCTTTGAAACAGGAGAGTAGATAAAAAAGCTACAGTGATTCCAGGATTGAGGTGCTGAGAGGATTCATAACCTCTGCAGTTTGCACTTCCTGGGGTGACTGGGGGAAATGGTTCTGCCTGTTGGAACTCAGCTTCTGATTCTCATCGCAACCCCCAGAGCAGCAGCCTGAACAGCAGGAGACCACCTAACCCTCTGACCGGAAGTACAGATGTGATCTCTTGTGCATGTTGTTGGGCACAGTGCCTGGCACACTGAAGCACAGAGAGAGGCTCAGCAGTTACACCAGAACACAAGTGCTTTGACCAGAAGCTACTCAGAGCCCTAAATTTCCTGAAGGTACTAATGTGACCACTCTAACAATGAAAGATACATTTCAACAAGAAACTAAATTATTTCTTATTTAATCCATATCAGAATATATACTTTCAGATTTAGTCCTGTTCATCCAAATGTTAGCAGTGGGTACTGATTTTTTTTCCTCTTTATGATAGAACTTCTAGTTCCCTGAGAAATATCCTCTTGTTCTCCTCCGATAAGAAATCTGAGATAGTGTCAGAAATACAGATAAGTAAATTTCCATGTAGCCCAGGCTTGTTTGAAACTTGCTATGTAGCCAATTTTGACCTTGAAGCTCTCTTCCTCCAGCCTCCACCTTCAGTGTACCAGGGTAAGAGGAATGTGCTACCACACCCCTTTTATGCAGGGATGGGGCTCGAAACCACGGCCTGGGCAACCTAGGCAAGTACTCTACCTACTGTGAAGGAAAGTTCCCAGAGGAAACAAAGCAAAACAAAAAAACCTGCTTCTTCAATTGAACCTCCAGTAAGACTAGTTAACTGATTAGCATTCAATGATTGTGCAGAATTTGAAATGTTGCAAGTCCAGAGCCTGTTTACAATTTCTCTGGGCATCTTTAACTCCCTAAATAGCCATTCTTTGCCCAAAACTGTGTCCGATCTAGTAGCCTTTGACTAACAATTAAAAACATTTGGTAAGTATTAAATTAACAAAACCTTGGCTTCTACCAGCCATCTGAGGCCTATAGCAGGATTACCCCCCCTTTGTTAATGACCCACCTACCAAATTACCCACCAATGTATTTGAAAAGTGTATTGCTGTGTAGATTTCTTCATTCTGCTATTATAAAACCTCCACTGAACTATTACCACCTTGGAACATGGAATTTGGGGTGACCTAACTTTGTGCTCCCGGGTCATGGTCACTCATATTGTGTTGGCTCCAGGGTAAACTACCACTCATTCCCTTGAGGTGCGAGCCATGCTTTGTGGTAGGGTTAGGGTTAGGGTTGGAGTTGGGGTTGGGGTTGGGGTTGGTCTTGAGGTTAGGGTTAGGTAGAGTTAAAAAAAAAAAGAAGAAGAAGAAAAATTCAGTATGAATCTTTGGGGACATTGTTTAAGGCCTAGATTGTGGAAACACTTTTTATCCTTTTGGCCAAAAATATATATTGCCAAGAAATGTGAGAATCCGGTACATCAGAATGAACAACTTCAGTAAAGAGAGACTTCACGTACTTTACTATTTCCTTTTTTGTTGTTCTTTTCCCTTTGTTTTCAGACAGAGTTCTATGTAGCCCAGGCTAACCTCAAACTCCATATACAGTGAGGCTGGTCTTGAACTCTTGATCCTCCAGCCTCACCCTCCCAAATGCTAGGTACAGACCTGCACCACACAGCTCACATTTCCTTGTATTACAAAAATGCTGAAGGGAACTCTCCTGAGTCCATATAATTAGAGCGACCATGTGCCTCAGGTCACCAAGGACTGCCCAGGTGGTTTCTATTGTCCTGAAACAGTTACTGACAGAGTCACTTCCATTCTCAAACTGGGTCCTGATTGGATAAGTTGTGAAGTCTACCTAACCTACTACAACACTGACCAATACCAACTTGGGGAAGAAAAGTCTTATTTGTCTTAAGTCTCCCAGGTCACAGTTCATCCCTGAGGGAGCCCAAGGTAGGAACTCCGGGCAGGAACCTGGAGACAAGAGCTGGAGCGCAGGTCATAGAGGAATGCTGCTTACTGGCTTGGTCCCTTGGCTCATGCTCAGTCTGCTTTCTTAAACAATACAGGACCACCTGTCTATGGGTGGCACTGCACACAGTGGGCTAGGCCCTCTCACATCACTCAACAATCAAGAAAATGACCCACAGACATGGCCACAGGCCAGTCCAATGGAGGAAATTCCCCACCTGAGGCTCCCTCCACCCAGGTATGTCAAGTTGACAACTAAAGCTATCCAGCACACACTGTAAAATAATCTCTATATTATTGCTAGGAGGCCTTTTACCACTGGGGACACTGCCTGTGTTTTGCCCTTTATCAAGGACTGGACCCTTGATTTTGACATTTCTCCGGAGTACTCAGCAAAAGACAGCCTTCCCAGGAAGGCTGGCTGCTGAAGATTAGGGGCAAAGGAGAGAGAACCAGACTCCTTATCTGTTTTGCTTAATATCTTCTCATGCCTGGTGGTCAGGGAAGGAGGAAAAAGGAAAATACTTGTCCCTCCAGCAGGAAACATGGACAGAACAACCACAGAGAACAGGCAGGAAAGCAGGGGGGGAGATGGAGGGTTGGACACACCAAGTTCTCAAGCTTCACTCGGTTTGCTGCACACGTCCATCTTTCCAGCCCATGAGAAACAGGTGTTTATCAATTCTTCAAAGCATATCCCTATACAGTTTTTTTTTAAAATCATTTGTGTTTTAAGTCATTTGAATTCAGACTCATATCACTAGTTTAAGAATAAAGTGTTTGCATGGCCTCCGGGATTTGGGGAGGGCTAAAGTATGCAATCTGAGGAAGGCTAGGAAGAGAAGGCATGACCCATGCTGCGTAAAGGCTTTCCAGTGCGCATACCCTCAGGTCATACATACCTACACCTCAGCAACCCCTCAGTTATCTTGGTAAGATAAGCTTGATAAATTCATTGGTCCCCAGTAAAACTTTAATCAAACACTGTCTTGACATTAGAACCTTAACAGGGAACGAGCATCGTTTAGCATCCCCAAGAAAAGAAGTCTCACAACAGATGGAAAATGTATTTGTTAATGCTATTATGCCTCATAATTCTTTTTTTTAAAAAAAGAAAATGAGAATGTAAAAGATGTTGAAAGAGTTATGGGAATGGAGATATTTTCCAAAATAGAAAAGATGAGAAAGCCTAAGCAAGTGAGGAAGGTCTGTGCAGGTTTGTTATGATACATAAAGAATGAGACAAAAATAATATATACATAATCTTAAATTTTCTAAGGTCATAGTTTAGTCAACTAGTTTAAGGAACAAAATATATATCTAGTCAAGGTTTATCTGAGAATATTTGTTTTTTAACCCAAGCTTTACCTACATAGCACATGACAATTAAAAGTACCAGAACGGTGGAACTTACCTTACTAGATATTTAACAGACATAGTTTGAGGCCTATACTAATGTGGTCAGAGGGACTTAAAGGACAGTTTTTGCCTCTTGTCCTCCAAGGCCGACTAAATTCCAAGGGACTATGGAACATCTCTCAAAATATCCTATAACTGTGGTGAGTCACCTGTCCTCTTGTTCAGGGAGGACATGGAGACCCCATGAGATGGACTTGAACCAGTGTCCAGTCTACAATGAAGAGGGTCAACTCAGAGGAAGCACCTCATTCATGCTTCCAAGTAAATCCAGACATGGTCAAGCAGGACCTTTGACTTATCTTCACATAGATGGAACTGGTAAAAGAAAGGAGCCAGGAGCTCCTCCCAAGCCCATG